TGTCCTTGCTCGTGTTTATGTTACAGATTTTCTGTTTATCTTCTTTCCTGTTATTTGACTTTGTCAGTGTATATCTAGGAAGGAAGAGAATATGTCTGTCTTATGTATATATTTGTATCAGTGTGTGGTACCCAGTAAGTACTCAGTAAATATTCATCCAATGAAATAAATACAATTGTTTGATACTGTGCTTCTCAAACAATTTAAGTGATTTGATGAGATGTTCTAGAAGGGAAAAAAAAAAAAAAAAACATTGTTTTGCTCACGTAGCAATTCTGAGCAATGCGTAACATGATCTTCCCTAAGAAATATAGAAATATCTAAGGCTCTGAGAGCTCTTGTACGAAAGAAGCCACTGAATGTTAACTCAATGTTTCCTAAAGCTATATGACAATAAATAGTTTTTTAAAAAGAAATACCCAATAAAATCCCGTGGAACGTGTTCTAAAGAATACATTTTAGGAAACAACTTTCGGTGCTAAATAAGACTCTGGGCCATCACCGCAGAGATGGTGGTATACATTTTCCCGTTTTTGTAAGGCCACAGATAGACTTGCTGATGATTTAAGAACAGACCAGAAACTGTTCATTCTCATCGATAACCCCCCCCCCCACTCCCGTAGGTGTGAATTCGCAGCTCTTTTGAAATAGCTCCTATCCCTCCGCAGCATCACAATGCTCGCAGGCAGAGCTGGCAACATTCTGAGGTGGACTTCAAACAGAAACCTCCAGACCAGGGGTTTCAAATCTGAATCTGTCTTACTGATATAGGGTTAAATTTAAGGTTGTGTCTTCCTTTCATTTAAATTTAATTATTTACTAGTGCACTATTTTTCTCCAAAAAGCTCTGTTTCACAAAGACCACCCCCACAGTCTTTCTTGAAATGCGTTCCTCTCAGTGGAGGTATCAGGATATGACTCTGAACTGTAAGGTAAGTTATCTCTCTGTCACCAAGAGCTGTTGTAGTGTAGTAGTTTATGGCTCATTCATGTGGTTGACAGGCTACATCTGTGATATGTGCCTATTAATAATATTCCATTATCAGTGTGAGAGGCTTTAATTTATTCTTGATGAGAAACAAGAAAGAAACAGATGAAAAAAGACTGGAAAACCTAGGGAAGAGCCTGATTGTGTACCCCACCTGCTATTTAGACCATGACAGAGAACAGCTGATGCAGAAAGTGAGCCTGCTTAGTCCTTTTACTACCTGCCTCAATTCAGGGAAAAAATAATCACTTTTTACATAGCTTTTCAAAATTCCAAGAACGACGCGAAGCAAGGTGAACCTATGTGGCTGTTTCAAACATACAGGGGAGAGGTGGTGGCTCTAAACAGATATCAGAGTTGCCTGGTGCACTAGAGAACTGCATTAAATAAACCGCTCTAACTTAGCCAGAGAGCTACACAGAGCTGCCCTCTAAATAGAAAACAAATAAATGTTGCATTCACACACATTTCAAATACTGTGTGTGGTTTGTTACAGCCTGTGTTGAGGTACAAAAGTGAAAGTCATCAAGGGTAGCAAATCAAAGGTCAGTGCTTAACAGACGTCTAGCAAATCATACCCGAAGTTCAGAAGCTTTGTGGAAGTGTGAAATAGATGCAACATTCATGTCACCTCTAACTTCTGGCTAGGTTCTGCTTGCATTCACTTTTTAGAATACCCATTCTGGTAACAGGCAAGAGTTGAAGGAAACACCCCTGTTTATGGCATTTCCAAGGTGAAAATGAAAAATTTTGATAAAGCTCACAGCCTTGAGGAAAATTTCAAGTGGCTTATTGCCTTCATTCTCTTATTTCACCACACATTATCAGATGGAACTGAAGGACAGATTCTGACTTTTGCTCTATAGGCTAAATTCTATTCTCAGTGGAGAAGGTTGCTGGTAACTTGAGTGCTTTTTCCTTATTTATCTGTGTAGCCCTGCTTCAGTGGACTCAAGAACTGCAAAGTGCACAGGGTGGCAGAAATCTGTACACTGGCCGACGGCATGTGTGGATGTGAAAGATTTATGCGAAGAGTAAAGTCACTCTCCGCATGCAGTGAGGCAAATTATCCCCATTTCTTTGCAGAAGAGTTTTTCCTTTCCTTCCTCTTTCTTTTACCAGGATGAATAATGTTTAGCTGAGTCGTGGTTCTTCTTGATTTTCAGTAGAACCCATCAGGTGCAAGAAAGAGCCACAAGCCCATGGCCAGGGCATCTCTTATGAGATTTGGCCTTTCCTGATACACATTAATCTTACAGCTAAGGGTGCTTTGTCACTGGCCCCAATTCCAGAGTTGGGCCTCATAAAGCTGGTGATGTTAAGACCAAAAATAATGTCATTTAGTGTCTAGGGAGAGGTTAAAAAGAGGATTAGACGCAGGCAGGCAGGCAGGGTATATTAAACTAGTCCATGACTAACAGGGTGTGACAGAAAAGAGTTTTATTCTTTTCAACAAAACAATTCCCTAAGGCTGGGACCATTACTCCACTGTGCCTTTATCACCTTGGAATTTTTATGGTTATTTCTGATGAATTCACATTTTTGTAAAGGCTTTTTTGAAATGATGCCAGTTTTCAATTTTTAATTAAAGTCGTAAATAATCTTAATTCTGCCTTAAAAGGTTTATTGTTTCTTTCTTTTTTTTATTATTGCTGCCAGGAAATATTTCAAATACCAAGACCTGATGTGAGCAAGCAATTAGAAGTTCTCCAAGGTCCAGTAACAACATTGTACCATGTAAATATAACACACTGGCATATCAGTGCAAGATTTAGAAATGTAGGCTGACCGATCTCAGGTTTATTAGCAACTGCTTTCTGGAGGGGGTGACATTTCCTCTTTTTGTTGGATGAAGCAACTCTCATCACTTTAATTTCCACAAATTAATCCATCACAAATTCATAAAGGGTTTGTAAAATAAAAAAGCTGGTTAAAATCTGGAAAGGAAAAACTAAACTCACTAAACGTTGGGCATCAAAGTCAACAAGGTCAATTTCAACCATTTGGAGGAAACACAGTAAAAGTCAAAAGCAAAATCATCTGAGAGACAAGCATCTCATTGCACATAAGACAAATTTAAGAAAGACCTGCAGTGTTTGACACAGATTATAATACTACTTGACAGTATATCCTTGTGATCTAGATGATATGTTGAAAGTTGCCGGTAAATTGTCAATAATGTTATATTTTTAGTCTCAAGGTTTGTTTTTCTTTTTTTTTAATTAGTGCTTTTAATTAGTGCTTCAAAAATCCTTCACACAATCAAAACTACTCTTCCTTTATACAGAGGAAGAGACACACCATATTTAAACAATAAAAAATCATTAACAATTTTTGAGAATATCCATTGTTTTGTTCTTGTACCTGTCAACCTGGGAAGCCTTTCTTAGATGGAACATTGTGTTGTTACTTATTTATCTGGATAGCAGCTGAATAACCTTTCATGTCCATAATTATCGTTCTGCTGTAAAAAAGTGCTCTCTAATTTTATTGATAAATTTGGTATTACAGGCAAAGCCTGACATTTGGGACAACTTGAGGCAGAGAATGGTCATACTTACAATGAACACCCTTTCATCTAGGAAGGCTATTTCTTTAAGTAAATATAGTTTATCACATCAAATATTTAATATATAGATAATGACGAAAACCATTACTGATTCTGCTGAAAGTACTTAACAGTATACAACAGGGTGTATTATTGTAAGGAAAGTAAGCATTTCCTTCCAATCTGATACTATTACTTAGCAGTACTATACCTTTGCTTTTCTAAAATTCAAGAATATATCCATGTCAAATGATCATGGATATCAATTTACTGGGATTCAATTTAAAAAGATTTGAATATATTTTTTGAGAAAAATAAATGATTTTAACAGCTGATTTACAAGATTGGGTTGGTGCACAATTAAGTATATCATAAGTGCTCGCAGCTGAGTATTTTTCTAACCCACAGAAACAAGGTCAAGTTCTTTCTATATATGACACCTTAGCTGGCATGGTGCTAACAATCTCAAGGGAGAAAAACTTCAAGCAACAAGAAGACAGTATTTTCCAACACCCCGATAAACCATGAAGTAATAAAAGATTTCTCACTAGAAGCCACAGAGACCTGAAAACCCTTGCCATGAGAGTTCAATCACTTGAAATACTTTTGAGTCTTCAACTGTCCTTACATTTGTTGTAAAGGTCCCTGAAGTGAATTGGTATAAACAAAACACTCAAAAAGCCAGCGTAGCTCAACTTGCTTACTGTCATACAAAAAAGATACCTGGTGTATTCGAAACTTTAAAAACTCAGTTATGACGTAAGACTTGAAAGGCGGTGAGCTCCCTGTCTCTACCGGACAGGAAGATCAGTATAACCAAGCACTTGCTGGATAGTGTTAGGCGTGAAGAGCAAGTCAGGATGACTGGCTGGTTGATCTGTAACATTTATATCTGAGATGTAATGATTTTTACAAACTTTGAAAAAGGCGTTAATTCCTCGTTGATGTTCAAGTGACTTCAAATCCAATTCTTTTCTCAGATTTGCATACACGGAACCTATCAAGAAATCTTCTTGTTCTCTAAGCTTCATGTGAGTATTCTATTCTCGTCCTAGAGGTTCACCTACCTTTTTTTGTAAGACTAAAGTGATTTTAGCCAAATGATATTTCATGAAATAGTATGTCTCTCCACAAAGGATTTTATTATTGTTTTTCTCAATTCAATTTTCTTACCTATTTAGACTTAATTTCCATAAAAGCCTCTTGTTACTTCCTGGTTTAAGTGACTTTCACTAATTTCGTTTGATTCCACCTGTACAAGCCTTGCCCAGAAATTCTTATCTGGCTGTATCAGCTGTACCTACCATAGCCTTGCTATTCATGGAAGACTTCCCTCCTCAAAACAGCTAAAGCATGTTACACCTTAAGAAGTGTAAGAGTTTCCAATGCCCTGCAGAAACTCTACGTACTACAGAGTAAGTTAAAAGTGCTTTTTCTGGCTGGAAAATTCTCTTTTAAAATTACCTTTTTCCTTGCTTGTTGATCTTTGGAAGAATGTGCCTTCACATGCTTTCTGAGGGAACTTGGGTCTGTGTAGCGTTTGGTACATCCTGGAATTTGACAAGCGTAAGGTTTCTAAATAAGAAAGAAAAAAGAAAAACCAGCTGTGATTCAATTATAAAAGTAACTGGGGAAGGTTCTACTCAAAGACTATCCAGAGCACAAATTGTTACCAACCAACTAATGTGAACTGCTAGGTAATACTCACGTTTTAATTAGAAAGCCCAGGAACTTTGAATCATGGCAGAGAGGAAAGTAAACTTTCAAGAAACAAAGAGCAGTCTGATCCTTGATGATTTTTAAGAGACTGCTTTAGATTGCGCTCTAACCACAAAGCCTCTTGTGGAATTTTTAATGAGGAAATTATTAGTAAGCATCTCCAGTCATACTTACAGTTCTGTTTCCCTGAGAACAATCTTTGGTACTGTCAGAAACTAGTAAACACATATTCTTTAAGGATTCAGGTAAAGAAGCTGTAGAAAAGTCCAGAAAAGACTGGATATGTTTCAGAGGAAACCTGATTCAGAAAGAGAGAGGGAGAGAATTAAGAAGGAAAAATTAGCATAAAGCGAGTAAGAGACAGTAAGTTTCAAATTAACAGACACATGAAAAAATTGGCAAGAAGAATATTAATATTATTAGCTGTGGAGGAGTCTGAGTGCTGAGCCTGAGGTAAGTTAGTAAGCACCCCCCCAAGACAGGTTAGAAGCACACATTTTGGCTATTCCAATTCCCCATGCTCCTGAGAGATGTGAAGCAGGGACTCTAAGGCTGAGTCTGAAGTTTACTTTATTTTTATATCCCTGACGTTTGGTGTATAATGTTTAGAAATGTGGTGGCACACGCCTGTAATCCCAGCACTCCGGAGGCTGAGGCAGGAGGATCGTTGTGAGTTTGAGGCCAGCCTGGGCTACTGGTTTTGAGTTTAAGACCAGTCTGAACTGCATAGTGAGACCCTATCTCAAAAAAGACAAAAAAAAAAAAAAATGAGTGAATGACAGTACCTTACATGCATAAAAATTTCAGCCTATCACCTACTTCTACTATAATGACAAAACAGAGTTTTAGAATCATGACTATTCTGTTGCAAGATCAGTTCCAACCTTCTATTCCAAGAACTGTAGGGAAAAAAATCTCAGGATTCACTGTGTTTGTAAGAGATATTAATTGTCACTGATCTACTTAGTAACTCAGTACTTTATCAGGTGAGGTATGAGATCTGTGCCTATATGATGTGAAACATAAGGAGAACTAAAACTTTATCTCCAAAGTAGTAATCTTGCTCTAAGAAGCTTCTGCACTACTGACCAAAAAAAAATTTCAGATTTTCTTTTATTGTTTATGTTGTACTCTTGTTTCCATGTGCATGCTTGTCATTTTGTGGGCCAACGTTCATGTGGGTTACATTATTTTCCTTCTGGAAGCAATATTTACGGTTCACTACTTTTTCTTTCCATTTTAATTCCAAGAACAAGGTAAAATTATGAATATATAATTCAATTTGACATACCCAGTTTGAATTCGAAGTTTGATATCTGATGTGTCTGTTGATTGGCTAAATATCTGAGATCGCTCAGTAGCTCTCACCTCCCAGAATGTACTAGGCATTGCACTGGTATAAGGGAGCAGAGAATGAGCAATAGATGAACCAGGTTCTTGACACCTCAATTTTTACAAAATGGTGAGCTAATTATTGCAGTTACTTGCCAATGAGCTTCCATTAGGTAAACAAAGGTTTCTTGAACCTGACAATCTTTTCCAAGTTTACAGAGCTTTCCTAAACTAGTCTTCCCTACCCTGTCCCAGCTGTAGGGGAAATACGAGCCCAAATCTGTACCTGAAGTGCCATTATGAGCACAAAAGCTCATGTTTTCGAGCATGAGAATGTAAGTTTCATGTAAAAAGGCATTATGAATATTAACATGCTACAGAAACTGATGCCTGTATGATTTGGAGTGGTAATGTCATTGTCATTTAATTTTGAGGTCTTCTTGGAGAAGGTTTAAATATTCACCATTATGCCCACAGAGCCGTGACTCTGTCTGCCTCCTGGGACCAGGATGCCAAAACAGCAACGTCAGGGACTGGCCTAAGTAGTAATCTGCCCTGGTCATTTTATCTCAACTTACCTAAACTTTAAACAGGGTGCTTTGCTTCATTAAACTACAGATTTCACTGTTTTCCATCTATACTGATAATTACTTTCCTTGTTTAGATATTAAAATGTTAACAGAGAAATGAATTAATAAAAAAATTTCATGGTTAGAATCAAGAACTAAGTAATCGTTATGGGAAAATCGTTTTTTCCAATGAGTAAAGAATTCACTTATTTGAAGAAAGATACCTTATCCAAAATTCTGACAGCATTTGCATAAGGAATGATTAATGAAATGGAACAGAAACCTAAATTTAAATTATAAATTCTTCAAATGACTATACTTCGCTTCTTAGAACAACTGTTTTACTTCAGTGTGGTTTCAAAAGAGTTCACCACTTTGTTAAATTAGTAGAAGTTTAAATAGGTTGTTTGGAACTTCAAGGAAAAAAATAATAGTTTTAACAGATCTAACAGAAAATTTTTTCCCCAAAAAAATAGCTGAGTTTTAGAAGTAATGCACTGAAATGAAAGTTTTAAAAAGGAATATATACATTTTAAATTGTGAAATGATTTTTAAAAATACTTTTTGCTTGATTAGTTAAAATTAGTACCAAGTAAAGGGTACTGTAGAACTCCAACACTTAACCCCACAATAGTTCCTTCAAGCTACAGATAGCTAGCTATAGTACAAGCAATTCCTCAAGACAATCTTGTCCCATGAATGTTCATTCTTCTATGATAAAATTTAGTTACAATTTGGAAAACTTGTTGGCTTCAACTAAGACCATTTTAGACACAAAAATAGGGTTTTTAAGCATAATTTACTCTTTTTTCATTTTTCTGCATTAAAAACCCCACTACTCACCATACTTATTCATTTAATGGTCTATTTTACTGGTCCTAAAAATCACTGAATTCAATTCAGCGACAGCCAGAAAGAGCTATTCAATGTCCGTACTATTTAACTATATTTCATATATTTATGAGGCAAATCATCACATTAAAGTACAGATAATTCTTTTTAGAAAGGTTACGTGACATATAGCTAATATGACTTGTATCAATGTGACTAATAGAGACTAATATAAAATTTAATAAATATGTCAACTATAACATCAGAAGAATCTTAAATATGTATGAGAAGGTGTGTAGGAATAACAGTATCTTTTCAAAATTCAAATTCTGGTGTAGTTTAATAAGAGACATCAGAATGCTACGCTGAGAAAGTACTGTCATGAATACATTACTTGCAAGAATGTGGGAGAAGAGATCCGTGATGTCTATCACACACTTATCCCAATGGCTTTGTTAAGTGAAATGCAATTACATAGGTCTACTCGGCCTCATGTAAGAAAAATGGCATCAAAGCCTGCGAAATGCAAAAGAGGCCTATCAACATAATGGGAAAAATAAAAGTCAGGAGTTAAACAGAAAAGGTATTTGTGAATGATCAAAATGTAACTGCGTTCAAGGAGTGAAGGGTGTGATAATGAAAATCAATCGTTCTCATAGGGTTGATATCCAAGGATATGTGGCTGTTAACACCGCGGAAGCATGAAGAAACTGAACCCTTGGGAAATATCTGTTTCTTTCTCGATCCTTGAAGGTGAAAATATCAGGTGTTTCTAAAGCAAAAGGCGAGATTCACTTTCAAAAACTGTCAGCTGCAAAGTTCTTATCAAGAAGAAAAGAACCCGGGTCAACAACCAAACAAACGAACACAATAACGCAGCTGAGATTTCTAGCAGTAGCATACACGACTATTTTGGAATGTCTTAATAGTTCAGTAATTATTTTAATAGTCTCAACTGGTGATTGTCTGTATTAAAATCTGCTTGTAGGACATCCTCTAAATGCCTTGGATTTTACATACAGAAGTAACCAGGTAACCTTCTGTACCAGGAAGTTCTAAATATTATTTAGGACACACAGTGACTACAAAAAAATGGAACAGCCACACAGGCCCCTTTCAGCACTTTACCAGGTTCCCCCTTGCTGCCCTGGGGACTGCCCTTGTAACCTGCAGGTTGCAAAGCAAATACTTGTACTGCTCCACTTTCAAAGGGGCACTTCTGTACACCGGCTTTGCTGCAAGTGGAAAGCTGCCACCATTCTTACAGTGTCCAGATGTGTCCTCTGGTGCTTGGCACGGTCACTGGAGTTGCTGAACGCCTTCTGACAGCCCGGGTGCTGGCACAGGTACGGCTTCTCGCCTGTGTGACTCCGCAAATGAATTTTGAGATTCTCAAGCCTGGAAAAGGCCTTCTTGCAACCTTCAAACTGCAAAAGGAAAACAATCTTTGGTCGTTGAGTGATTCGGGGTGAGTGGGGGGCAAAGTCTTCAGTTTATACTTAGGTTAAAACAATAAAATAAAATAACATCCAAACAGGAACAAGTACTGCTGCTAAAATTACCCATGTACTTATGTGAACTGCATCTTTCCACTGAATATATATGCCACTTTCTATACTAGATTTGGGTCCCAAACTGATTTCTGTGATCACTTATGTTAGAAAAAATTCACAGTGAGCCATCTGGCTCAGTTAATAAAAATGCAGTAATGTGTCTTAAAGATTTATTAAAAAATTAACACACTTTTCCATTTCCAAATTGGTCTAAATTGAAGAAACCAGGAAAGAAGAAACTTTTTGACAAGGAAAAAACTAACAGGAAAAATCAGAGTGATGTATGAGGAAAAAAAATTGAAGATGTGAAGTCCAGGATGAAAAGGGCATGTGTCCATTAGATTGATGGGATCAGAACTTCCTTAATTGTACTTCAAACTGAACTATACTAACTAGGCTTTTTCAATTTCCCAAAGAGTCACCATATTAACATGCAGGGTAATGTCATAAACACACTCTGAAAGGAATGAAAAAATAGACAATTCATTTAATGTTAAATTATTTTCCCAAAGGTTTAACTTTTATTTTAAAATTTTTTCTTACATAATTCATGAACAGAATTAAAAATGAAAGTTTGGATATTACAACAAATATGTCTTTGTTTTGTCAATATTTATTGACAGTAACATTAACTTAATATTTTCTGTGAGCAATGTATCAGCTACTTCATAGGATCAAAGTGATTCTAATCCTTCAGTGACAGTACAGTAAAGAAAATGTTATTAGGAAAAGCATACAAATTAAGCGTGCATTTGAGACGGAGATTTATCATTTATCACTCCCTTTGGTGCTAAACCCAAGAATTTTTGTGTGACTTTGACAGTTAATTTTATTTGAGTGCCCTCCAGAAGGGAAAGTTAGAAATATGAATAAACTTGGCAGAAAAAAAGTATAACATACTTAAAGCCATCAAGAAGCCTCAATGCTTAAAGGGGACCACAAGGACAGGAGTGATATAGGAAAGAATACAAGAAGGTCAGATGAAGAAGGTTCTGATTCAGAATCAGCAGGAATCACACAGCCTTGCTGCAAAGATTTTATGAAACTGCTTGGTTCTCTTCCTTATTACAATAGCTCACTGTGCAAAAAAGATGATCCAGATTTGGCCAAGTTTTGGCGACTGGAATTTTCATCTTCAAGTGAAGAATGAACTAAGTAGGAAGAATAATCAAACATGTCATAACTCCATCTATTTAAGTAAGTTGCTCAGATTTTGCATGCTGGAATATTTTAAGATATTTATGAAAGTTGCACTTATTTTTGATTGAGAGTTATACATGTTTCACAGACATATGTTGGTTTATTTCAATTTTGATATTTTGCTTAAAATAATTTTGGTGTTTTCCTGATTTCTGTTTCACATAAAAATAAATTTAGCCTGAACGGAAAATGAATGCTGACGAAGCCAACTACTTTTTTTCAGCAGCAAAGGGCATGTAATGCCATGTCGTTAGGAAAAGAGGAGCTGAGGGCCTGATTTCTGCAGGCTTTCAAGCACTTCTGAAATTTAAAGATAAAGGGGCTCAAAATTAACTCCTCATTCATGGCTAAGCGGTCTCTGCTGACCAAACCACTGTTTTTAAGGTTTCCTTTGAATGGCAACTCAGAGCAAACTCCTGGAGCTTAGTTTATTTTACTTGGAATCACCTTGTGGACCACACTTAACCCTGAAATGAGCCTGTGGTTTTGGACATGCTAAGCCTGTAGCCTGGTTCCTAGCAAGGTTCTTTCGCAGAGTGGGTTTCATATTGGGGCCAGCTCCAGGAGCTCAACCCAGAGCTTGTTAGGCCCAGTATTCTCTCCCTCCCACAGTCTCCTTAGAGAGAAAGTGTTATTGTTTTGGTACCAGCATGGGTGTGGAGAACAACTTTAGAACAGATTCATAAGGTTCCTAAGTCCCAGATAAAGCAAGACCTCTAGATCTCCAGTGGTGTGATTAGATACATGCTAAGTTAATTCAAATAGCCCACAGGATCAGACATGAAGTCTGTGTAGGCTAGCATTTCCTAGGTCTTCCCACTTAAACATTCACTTAATGTTCAATTAGAATTCAACTAACTGCTGTTATGACTATTAACAGAAGAAATAAAAACCCCCAAATCTCACTGCCTTTCAAGCAAATCCATGAAAATGAGTAACCTCTCAGAATATCCTGACCATTTTAAAATAGCAAAGTAAAAGCAACTAAAAGCAGCCAGGCTGAAAACGAAGACAAAACCACTGTCTGTTGAACAGTAAAAATCCACGGGATGTAAAATGTTTCCTCTGCAACATGGAAGGCCAGAAGCTGACACAGTAGCATCGCAATATTTTCAGTTTTCACGGGGAAAACATGAAGAGTTTGAACTCACTGAGTTGTACAAATAAATGCAGAAGAAAGGCAATTTCATGTATGCAACGGCTTGTAACATACTACCTATTCATTCTTCCAGATGGAATTAACTTGAAGAAACTATGATCCCAAGGCCAGTAAAACTAGGCACTGAAGGACTGATAAGTGCCTAGGTGAGGGGAAAGTGCCTCACACATCACAAACATCTGAGTGAATTTGTGACACTGAAGATTTTGCAAGAAAAAGGAGGTGTTGTTTGCTCCTCTAACGGTCTCTGGATGAAACTTGAAAGCAAGTAATTTTATAATGAATCATTATCATTCATTATGGGACAAACCTGGTAACTGAACACAAGAATTTCCTCTCCCTGAGCCAGTTTTTACTCTTAGACATTTTACATAGAGGTTTTACTCTTTAGACATTCTTAGATATTTTTAAAATAAACTAACAGGCACATTTACAAAAGAGTGTTAGAGGAGACACCAAAACTGGATTCTTTGGGTGTTTGGGCAATGGGTGCTTTTGATATTCCTTCTTAGGTTTTTCATGTTTTCCAAATCTTTATTAAGTACTTCTGACCTTGTAAATGAACATTCAAACTCAGGGAAGCAAGGACTACTGTAAGTAATTCCCTGGTTTTGATCATAGGCTTTTTTGCTGAAGTTGCTATGGTGTAAGATCCATCCTGAAAGATAAGGTCCAAATTTTCAACTGACTGCTCTTCTCATAGTTACCAACTAAATCCTGCACAACTGAGCAATTGCTTTGTCTCAGGTCCTTTTCTTCCTGGACTGGCTGTGAAGCCATGAACTCAAGATTGATGGACCATGTACTGGTAGGTAAGAGAAAAATAATGCACAATCAAACCTTAGAGTCAACAGGAAAGTTGAAGGGTGAAAACATAGGATATACGAAAGAGAGGCAAATGGCGATAATGTATGGTGGGTGGTGGAAAAGCAAGCCGGAATTCACTGAAGGTTTATTCCATGCTAAACTTCCTGCTCTGTGTTTTCATCAAGGTTAGTCATTTTGTCTAAATAGCACCCTTTATTGTCCAGCAAATATTAAATAAGTCCTATAGGGAAAAAAAAATCAATAAAATGCAAAGCTGATTCACACGAACATACAAACCAAAGTCGGAGCATATGGCTGGTCAGGTTCAGTACTGAAAACCCTGAACAGTGATGCTCACAGATATGGCTCCCAGACCAGAGGCAGCATTAGCACCCCTGGGAATTCGTGAGAAATGCACAATCTCTGATCTCTGTGCATGAGGCCCCCCTAAACCCAGTGAGAGCAAGGGAGTTAGAAAATGCCATTCAGACTCTGATCAGCGCCCATTCTCTTACACCAATCTTCTGGCAGAATCCTTTGTCTTCTAATTTGGACAAGAATCATATGGACTAACATAGTAGCAGCTACCCTAGGACCGAAAGGCATATTCCAGGGTAGGGCAAAACTATCTTCATTCATACAGCAAATGGAACAACAATCCAAAAATACTAATCTCTTACTAGAAATTCTTTAAACTCCTGACTTTAAATGTGCTACCCGGCAGATGTCTGGCTCTAAAATAGGCATGCCCACAAGTTCTCTCAGTAGCTTCCTGACCCGTAAGACACCCCACATTTCTACTGCCCCTTACATTCTTATGTTGAGCAAAATCAGTGAAGGAGAGCCATTTTCACATTTCAGTGGAATTACAGACACATATAAGAATAGTGCATGAAATTGTAAGTGACAGAACTTTAAATCTCAAGGGTTTTGAAAAATACTGCACTGCAGGAAGCCTCACGTTGAGCAATATCTCTTTAACTTGAGGATCTTTTTAAGGTAACACACTTTAATTAGAAATTTTCAATAGCCTCAAATGTAAAGAATTTCAGCTTGCACCACTTTGCTAATTTAGAAAATTATTTCATATTTAAAGAATCACACTGGACTGTAATCATCATCTGTATATATTAGTTTGATTAGGGATTGTTGACATTAAGTAACATTAAGATGACCTTTGAAATATCACTTTGTCTTTCTATTAGAAGCTTTTGTGCAAGGTTCTAAAAATGAAAGCCTCATTAGACACAATTAAAATGGGATTTATTCCATATGTATAACCAATAATCAAGAGACTATTACTCCCTTCCCTAATCAGCTACTTAAGAGTGGTGAGAAGTTTGTATTCAAAGCAGTAATAACAGCAAACCTTCTTGATCAGGTTTCTTTACCACTGCTAATGTCAACAAAACCCAAACAGAAAGGAGTCTATGATGCTGGACATGCTTTTTAAAAAAACATACATTTGATTTCGATTAAGGCTCGGTGTTTATGAGCCCTAGAGGTATACGCTTTTACAATTTCATCAGTCAAGACCAATTAATCTCATTAGCAATGGCTGCCACCATGACATGCAGCAGGAATTGGCTGATGAATTACAGTACATGTTAGTTTATGTCTCCACATACAGCCCAAAGACAACAGAGATGAAAGAGATTGATAGGAAGGTCAGTGAACATTTCTAATGTCCTGGGTACAGTCAAGGTGA